TATAAAGACTTAAAAGATTATACTTCCTGGCATACAATGGATTTTTTTAGCAAGCCAGAACAGATAACATGTAAACTTAGACAATTTATTGTTATTTTGTATACACTTGTGAAATTTCGATGCATAGAGCTTACAACAGTGAAATAAACATTACCATTTATAAAGTGGGGCAGTGATAAAGAATGTAGACAGTGTAGGAGAAAAGAAAAAAAATAAACAGTATAAAGTCACGTTGCAAAGGGCACTGATATGGAAAGGTTCAGTTCAGTGCAAAAAATATATATATATATATATATATATATATATATATATATATATATATATATATATATATGGTGCAAGATGCAATACAACATAAAGTTGTGTTCTAAGGCTGATTCTTTCCAGTATAACCCTTACAAGTGTGCCTTTTGAGACCGCTCGTCCTGGACTCACTAGTGTATTTGATTACTTGATTACGTTTTACAAGCGGCGTATTGAGTGCTAACACCGTGATAATGAACTCTTGTGAAGTTCGGTAATATCTGAGACTTTCCTCTCAGCTCCGTCAGTTTTACAGAAACGTCCTTACTTCTAAATTTGCGTTGCAAATCAAACTTTTCGAAGTAGAGTTCGCCACTACCTGTTGGTCCCTCCATTGTTGTTTTTTAGCGCGGGTGAAAAACTCAGAGCGGAAGTACTGTTGGTTTTTGGGTCGTGTAGTTTTTTTGACTCGCATTATAGTGTAGGCTTAAAGGAAAAAAACTACAAAATGGCGGCGCCAGTAGTGGATTTTTTTTCTTTCTATTTTGTTTTATTTTTTGGCATCGATCCTAGTTTTTTTTTAGTTAGTATTGGTTTGCTCCTGCTCCCGTTAATGTTTAATCCTGTACCGTCCCAATCACGTGACCGTTACTAATACTGACTCCCATGTCAGTCTCTAGGGGGAGTGAGGTGCCTTAGGACACGCAGCGCTGGGTTGAAATTTAAAATATGGAGGGAAATGTAGAAGTAAAGCTTATTTGCTTTTTAGTTTAACAAACTTTAAATGCAAAAAAAAAAAAAAAAAGAATCAAACAGTAAAAAATGTAAAACAAGCAGCTTGTTCCAGATGTGAGGAGCAGAGAAAGTAAACGCTGCCAAAATCTCTAAAAAACTCAAGTTTTAATTTCTTCTACCTGGATTATTGAGATGCATCGAGACAAACGGGTTTACTGTTTATAAACAAAGATGGCTGCCATAAAATTTAGCCCAAAAGGCTTAGAAGAAAAGTGGATTCCAGGTGAGCGGGTGGTTCTGCCCATGGAGGTCCTTTTAAGCTCTACCTCTTAATCCAGAAGCAGGCTGTGGCTTTTCTTCCTCTGTTCAGTGTATGGGCGCACATGGCACTGGGGACGGGGGGTCATGTCCACTCCAGACTTATAGAGACCCCCACTGGCCCTAAGGTGGGAACTAGAAGTTTTTTGCTGAAATTCTTCTGGATGACTTGATCAGTTGAAGCTATAACCCGCGCAGTACTGCCACCTGCTGCTGACGTTAGGTATCACCATAAATGAGACTGCCCTCAAACTACATGAACGGTTCAAAGCGTATAATAACTGCATGTCCTGAGCCCGTAGCATCATCAGTCACCCATCATCCCCCCACCATGGACTGTTCTCCCTGCTGCCCTCTGGGAAGAGGCTTCACATCATTGGATGCAGGACCAGTAGATTCCAGAACAGCTTCTTCCCCACCGCCATCAGACGGCTGAATGTTAAATAAAAAAAATTAAAACACTGAATGCTGAAAAACCTGTAAATCAAGTCGCGGTCCTTTGTTTACATAGCGTATATAAATAGGAATAAAGTTTGTCTAAGTGTAACAGAAGGATGCATCACTCAGTGGAGCAATGTTTATGGAGGTAATAGTGACTATTATTGATTCTACAGTTGTTCAATACTTTGTTTTCAAAATAAATCCTCAAAAAAAAAAGAATAAAAAGTAAATGCGTATACTGGCCAGCATCTCTCCTTATTCACAGAAAGCTGTTGAACAATGGGAGCTATTTAGACCCGATCACAGTGAGGCGAAATAAGGTAAGAAGAAAGCAGCACAGCTGTTAATAGCGACCCTTAATGGAGGGCTGCCTTCTACTGCTGTGTGATGGCGTACAGTTAGAGCCTGGAGATTGAAAGATGGATAAAACGCCACAGAACAGCATTTTTGGAGCGATGAAAAGATAAGAATCCAGTCATTTGCACGGCAGTGAAAAAGACTGATGTGGGTCACATTTCCCTGCAGTGGGAATGAAGCCAAAGTTTATGTGAAATGATTGGTGGAGCTAAAGGTTGACAGATGAATAACAGAAAAGTTCTGTAGGAAAGCACAGCAACATGTTAATATTACTGACATGTAGCCCAGTAAAGATGGTGGAGGGTGATAATATTATGGGTGGTGCTGCTGAAATGAGTCTGTTTCTGCAGAGATTACTCAGAGATTACTAATGTAGGCTCACAGCCACAGCAGTTTTCCACTGAATCGTTCCATTTTTAAGAGGAAAGGAGAACAGTTTNAATATTTGGATGCTAAAAACAAAAAGTGAAGCATTGCTGAAAGTTGTAAAATCCACAGGAGCAGACTGACTTCATCATCCGTCTCTGTCTTTTATTGATCAATATAAACCTGACCTGTAGGCAGGGAAATCTAATTCAAACGAAACTACTTTTATAAACTTATTATACGTTTTATATTTTTTCCTCCCAGGCTTTGATTTCTTAATTTTATATTAAATAATGAGGAAAAGTTCTTCTGTTGTTTTAGTTTTAATCACCACATATTAAACCAGTAGATGAACTTCACTGTTTTTAACATCACTCTACTTAAAAGCCTTTTTCAGCAGCTAACATGGCTGATATCTGTGTTAAGCTGATTCCAAATGCATCAAATTAAACCTCCAAGCTTCTCTTTCTTCATGTGAGTCAATAGATGATTTAAATTTTTGATTCTAAACATCAATAACTGCTTAGATTTTCTCCAAGCTGGATTAAATCAAACTCTATTAACTCACTTTTTTCGTTGACCTCCAGAGTGATGGTTTTTATTGTCTTTGTTTCCATGACGACCTTGCAGCTGTATTTCCCTGCATCACTGAGGTTGGTGTTGGACAGGACGATGGACATATCTCCATTGGTCATCTCCTTATCGCTGAGCTTCACTCGGCCCTTGAAGTGTGGGTTCTGGAAGCTTTCATAAGGTTGGTTATCTCTAAAGTAGAAGACATAATCTTGCCCCAGGCCTTCTTTGCTCCACTGCAGCACCCTTAGGTTACCCTGTTTTTCCACCATACAGGGGAGGACAGCTTCTTCCCCCACTGTGGTTTTAACTGCTGTGAGAAAAACACAAATATAAATAAGGTTTCTTATTGTTTTGCACACATTTTAGATGATAAACTTTTGTTTTACTGTATATACGATAATCTACTGTTTTAAAAGTCAGAAAAAAACCTATGTCTATTTAGGAAAAATGAGCTGCTCTTAGTTATAAAGACTTAAAAGATTATACTTCCTGGCATACAATGGATTTTTTTAGCAAGCCAGAACAGATAACATGTAAACTTAGACAATTTATTGTTATTTTGTATACACTTGTGAAATTTCGATGCATAGAGCTTACAACAGTGAAATAAACATTACCATTTATAAAGTGGGGCAGTGATAAAGAATGTAGACAGTGTAGGAGAAAAGAAAAAAAATAAACAGTATAAAGTCACGTTGCAAAGGGCACTGATATGGAAAGGTTCAGTTCAGTGCAAAAAATATATATATATATATATATATATATATATATATATATATATATATATATATATATATGGTGCAAGATGCAATACAACATAAAGTTGTGTTCTAAGGCTGATTCTTTCCAGTATAACCCTTACAAGTGTGCCTTTTGAGACCGCTCGTCCTGGACTCACTAGTGTATTTGATTACTTGATTACGTTTTACAAGCGGCGTATTGAGTGCTAACACCGTGATAATGAACTCTTGTGAAGTTCGGTAATATCTGAGACTTTCCTCTCAGCTCCGTCAGTTTTACAGAAACGTCCTTACTTCTAAATTTGCGTTGCAAATCAAACTTTTCGAAGTAGAGTTCGCCACTACCTGTTGGTCCCTCCATTGTTGTTTTTTAGCGCGGGTGAAAAACTCAGAGCGGAAGTACTGTTGGTTTTTGGGTCGTGTAGTTTTTTTGACTCGCATTATAGTGTAGGCTTAAAGGAAAAAAACTACAAAATGGCGGCGCCAGTAGTGGATTTTTTTTCTTTCTATTTTGTTTTATTTTTTGGCATCGATCCTAGTTTTTTTTTAGTTAGTATTGGTTTGCTCCTGCTCCCGTTAATGTTTAATCCTGTACCGTCCCAATCACGTGACCGTTACTAATACTGACTCCCATGTCAGTCTCTAGGGGGAGTGAGGTGCCTTAGGACACGCAGCGCTGGGTTGAAATTTAAAATATGGAGGGAAATGTAGAAGTAAAGCTTATTTGCTTTTTAGTTTAACAAACTTTAAATGCAAAAAAAAAAAAAAAAAGAATCAAACAGTAAAAAATGTAAAACAAGCAGCTTGTTCCAGATGTGAGGAGCAGAGAAAGTAAACGCTGCCAAAATCTCTAAAAAACTCAAGTTTTAATTTCTTCTACCTGGATTATTGAGATGCATCGAGACAAACGGGTTTACTGTTTATAAACAAAGATGGCTGCCATAAAATTTAGCCCAAAAGGCTTAGAAGAAAAGTGGATTCCAGGTGAGCGGGTGGTTCTGCCCATGGAGGTCCTTTTAAGCTCTACCTCTTAATCCAGAAGCAGGCTGTGGCTTTTCTTCCTCTGTTCAGTGTATGGGCGCACATGGCACTGGGGACGGGGGGTCATGTCCACTCCAGACTTATAGAGACCCCCACTGGCCCTAAGGTGGGAACTAGAAGTTTTTTGCTGAAATTCTTCTGGATGACTTGATCAGTTGAAGCTATAACCCGCGCAGTACTGCCACCTGCTGCTGACGTTAGGTATCACCATAAATGAGACTGCCCTCAAACTACATGAACGGTTCAAAGCGTATAATAACTGCATGTCCTGAGCCCGTAGCATCATCAGTCACCCATCATCCCCCCACCATGGACTGTTCTCCCTGCTGCCCTCTGGGAAGAGGCTTCACATCATTGGATGCAGGACCAGTAGATTCCAGAACAGCTTCTTCCCCACCGCCATCAGACGGCTGAATGTTAAATAAAAAAAATTAAAACACTGAATGCTGAAAAACCTGTAAATCAAGTCGCGGTCCTTTGTTTACATAGCGTATATAAATAGGAATAAAGTTTGTCTAAGTGTAACAGAAGGATGCATCACTCAGTGGAGCAATGTTTATGGAGGTAATAGTGACTATTATTGATTCTACAGTTGTTCAATACTTTGTTTTCAAAATAAATCCTCAAAAAAAAAAGAATAAA